ACGAAAGACTTGAAATCATTGCAAATGATTAAGGCAACAGAACAACACCATCATATGTTGTTTTCACAGAAAGTGAGAGGCTGGTTGGTGATGCAGCTAAGAACCAGATTGCAATGAACGTGAAAAATACAGTCTTTGATGCAAAGAGACTGATTGGAAGACGATTCGGTGATCCAGCAATACAAGAGGATATGAAGCACTGGTCATTCACTGTCGTCAACAATGGCAATGACAAGCCATTGATTCAAGTGGAGTACAAGGGAGAGACAAAGAAGTTCAACAAGAGGAAATCAGCTTGATGGTGCTGACGAAGATGAAAGAGACAGCAGAGGAGTTTGTTAATGGGAAAGTCAACAACGCATTCATCACATGTCCAGCCTATTTCAATGATTCACAGCGACAGGCAACAAAGGAAGCAGGCACAATTGCAGGCATCAATGTGCCCAGAATCATCAATGAGCCAACAGCAGCCGCAATAGCATATGGACTTGACAAGAAGACGGAGAGAGAAAAGAACATCTTGATCTTTGATCTTGGTGGTGGAACATTTGATGTCTCACTTCTTGCTATTGACGATGGGGTCTTTGAAGTGAATGCAACAAACGGCAACACACACCTTGGTGGCAAAGACTTTGATAACAGAATGGTCAACCACTTCATTGCCGATTTCAAGAGAAAGTACAAGAAAGACATTTCAGGCAATGCACGAGCAGTCAGGAGACTCAGAACATCGTGTGAAAGGGCAAAGCGAACACTGTCATCGGCAGCAACAGCAAACATCGAAGTCGACCAGTTGTATGAAGGAATCGACTTCTACACATCAATTACAAGAGCGCGTTTTGAAGAACTCAACATCAACCTCTTCAAGTCAACAACCGCACCAGTCGAGAAGGTGCTTGAAGACGCCAAACTGGACAAAGGAAGCATTGACGACGTGTGTTGATTGGTGGATCAACTCGTATTCCAAATGTTGTGCAGATATTACAAGACTTCTTCAATGGGAAGGAGATCAACAAGAGTATGAATCCAGACGAGGCTGTTGCTTATGGCGCTGCCGTGCAGGCTGCCATTCTGACTGGGAAAGCAGCAGAAAATGTGTTGCTGCTTGACGTTGCGCCATTGACACTTGGCATTAAAACAGTTGGTGGTGTGATGACGACACTTATCCCACGAAACTCGACTATCAACAAAGAAGTTACAAATATTCTCGACATATGCAGACAACCAGCCAGGCGTGCTGATCCAAGTGTTTGAAAGTGAGGCATCCATGACATCACACTGCAACCTGCTTGGAAAGTTTGGGTTGTCTGGCATTCCACCCGCACCACGTGGTGTCCCACAAGTAGAAGTCATATTTGACACAAATACAAATGGGATATTAAATGTCTCAGCTGAAGACAAGACAACAGGAAAGAAGAACAAGATCACCAACGACAAGGGAAGACTCTCAAAGGAGCAGATCGACAAGATGGTTGCAGACGCAGAGAAGCACAAGGCGGAGGAAGACAAGATGAAGAAAATTGCCGAGGCGAAGAATGGACTTGAGAACTTCTACTACTCAATGAAAAACACACACACCGAGCAAATTGCAGCAAAGCTCTCACCAGAAGACAAGGCGGCAATTGAAACAATTATCAAGGAGACACTCGACTGGCTTGACAAAAACCAATCGGCATCAAAGAATGAATACACACAGAAACAAAAGGAAACTGGGGCCAAGCCAAACTCCAAATTTTTGAAGAATTGCAATATAAAGTGTAAACAATATTGGAGGTCGATTAATGTAATTAATGTGTTTCATTTGACTCAATATGTATTATATTTTTAAACTAATTAATAATTAAAAGTATATTTATAGACTTTATAATAAATTCTTTCAAATAAAAATAATTTATATTTTATGATATATTAAATTAATTAAACAATTATAGTTTAAATTGTAATTGTTTTAGTTAAAATCAAATTTATATGTTATTTATAACATTATAACATTTTAAACTATTTTTAATTATTAATATTTTATTGCAATTACTAATTGTTTCAAAAAATGTAAAAAATTTAAAAATAGTTCAATTTTTAGGGTTTTAAATTTTATTATAATATAATAATTATAATATTTTGGATTTTTTGGCTTACTTATATAATATTTTTGGACTTTTCAGGTTTGGACTTTTTGGGATCCACCCAAGAATTGTCTCAAATTAATATTACATATAAAACTGATATCGATGTTGATTACTACATGTATTTTAAATCTTTGCTTGAAACTGTTAGGAACCTTAAAATTAGCAAAAAAAGAGATAAAGACCAAAAAGTGTTTGAACAAGAATTGTTTGATAATCAAAAAATGCTGCAGATAATTTGTGGAGAGACTTGATAATTTTTATGATTTTAAATAACAAAGATGATATTGATTTTAACATGTCTGAAGGTAAATATAAAGAATATAATCAAAATAATTTGAAATATTTGGATGAAATGAATAAATGTTAAATGAACAAATATTAAATGAAAAGAAAAACGAACAGCCAATTCCTAAAATTCGAATTAAAGAAGAGTTGAGAAAAAACGGATATCATAATTTCAAGTGGAAATTTTAGTAATATTATTTATCATCATAATGAAAAAAGAATTTAATAAAAATGTTAGAATTGAGACTGATTCTGATCAACCAGACAAGGTAATAAATGCAAATGAAGAAATCCCAAAACAACTTGTATATTTGAAAGATAGAATTGAGTTTAGGGAATGAAAAAATAAAGAATTTAAGTATTTTGAAAAAAAGTGCCCACAAACTTATATAACAACAGAAATGATATTTAAAAAAATGAAGAAAGAAGATTTATTAAGATTTCCTAATATGATAAAAAGTGTTAAAATATGATTATTATACCAGTTAACAGTTGCAGTTGTGAAATATTGTTTAATTTGTTGGATCATGCAAACCAACTAAATTTGAATGATGAACATCGTGAAGAAAAATATAATGCCGAAATGATAATAAATAAAATGAAAAAATAATCGAATAATCTTATTTTTTAATAAAAAATAAAATTTTAACGAACTGTTATTTTACAAAGTTTTGTAATAATAATCAATAACAATATAATGAAATCATCCTTGTATTACAAATTTTTAAAACTTTTTAAAAGAACAATAATTGTCACATTAACAAAAGTTGACAAACTTTTGTGAAGGAAAGTTGAATTACAATAAAATGTCCAAAAGTGCTCTTTTTTCATTTTCACGTTTTCCTTTCCTGTTAAATTCTAAAGTTCAACAACACGACCAATCAAGTCTTTTTCGACTTCCTCAAGCCATACAACACCCATATTCTCTTGATTCATCTTTTCTTCAACACACACTCGAATGGTATTCTCTTCCAACACAGCAATTTCATTAATGAAATAACCGATATTGTCCGTTCTCTTCTTTGAATCCACAGTCTTCTTGATCTTTTCACTCTTATGAATTTCTTTAATAATCGGTCCCAACGCTTTATCAGTAGCACTCATGATGTTTGCAAACGTCTGACTTTGAACAACAAATTGTACATTCTTCTTCAAAATGTCATCGTACTCTTTTTAAATCCATACAATTTCCGGTTCGACTTCTCCACTTGGTCTTTAATCTTTTCAGAGTTAATATCATTCCATCTTATCAGTATCACAAACTCCTTAATTTTAGTCTCAATAGGTTTAGTCTCTCTGTCTATGTCTTTTTTAATTCTCGATACAAAGACATTGTATCGAGAATTAGTTGACCTTCATTTAGACTCTCCGTCGTTTTATCCCAACTCTTCAAATGCCAACATCTCTACTTCTGTATTATAGAAGTAGAGAAATGAATATAATACCACATTCATTTCTTCTTGTAAAGAAACATACTTCGCAGCTACCGTCTCCCTATTTTGAAGCGCACCAAACAAGATGTGGAGGACTATCAAATATCTCGTGAGAAAGTCTGTTTTGGGGAAGTTCTTCGGTCTCTCTGTGATAGAAAGGATCTTCGCTGACATCTCATTCTCTGGGAATTCCTCTAATAAATTCAAGACACTTGTACACAACGGTTCTAATTTTTGAAGCAATTCATTAACTTCAAGACACTTCCATTTTTGTTCAAATCAATTGTTCTCTCTGCCTTCGTCTAACTTAAAATAACTACTTTTTTGTTTATAGAAATGTTATGGAATGGAGAACTAGTACAATCAAATTCCTTTGGAAGTGGCAAATCTCTTGTGTCAAAAACTCGTCCAAAATTTCTTTAAATATTTTGTTCCTCGTCTCATACATCTCCTCAAAGCTTTCTTGGCATTTCTGTGCTTTCAGTAACTTAGAAATGAGTTTCATAATAAACTGAATATCAGAGTCACTCATCCAAACTCTTGCCTTTTTTTTCTTATTTTCATTTGTTTTCGTTCTATTTACATTGAAAGACTCTGTGTTTTTAATAAGTCTTGAACATCAACAAAGAAGTCCGAAAACTCTGCTCTATACTCTTCTTTATATTCATCTTCATCCACAGCAAGTTGATTCGTTTTAGTTGTATATTTATAAGTCACTTGTTCTTCCTCTATAATCTTTCTTTTTTTTCATCTTCTGCGTTTTTGAGTGTAGCAGTCAAATGAAGCAACAACGAGATCACTTTCATCGCACCAGCCTTGTTGCACTACATCTCTCGAATAATATTGACCAACACTATTTTAATTAATTCACTGTTCTGGACATTCTTATTCTCTTCAATGTGTTGGATAAAGTCTCCAATGCATTTGGCTTGTTCTTGTATCATATTAGAATTCACTGGGAATGTAATAATACATTTAAGTAACAGTTCAGTCTTTTCATTTCGCAAGTACAAAATTATCTTCTTATACAAACCAATTCGAAGACCAGTCTTAAGTAAATAAAGCCCAAACAAGACGGGTATAGTCAAATCTAAGAATAAAGGATAATCCTTCTGAATATGTTCTATGAAAAATTCAGTATGTTCTTGCCACATTGTTTCTTGTGTAATGATGCGAATGAGTTGAGCAACTTCATTGACATTTTCAATATCATTACACAGTCTTTTGTCTTTAAGTAGTCTCCATTCTATGATGAAAACAATACAAATTCCTGATACAAGTTCTCATATTTTTGTTCTGTAATTCTTTCCTTGTTGAATTCTTAGTACTTCTTCATTCCACTTCGAACAGTAATTCTCAATCTTTCCAAGAAGTTCAATATCCGCTTAAACCTTTTTTCGAAACGTGACTCTGTAATTTAATGGCACTTTTTATTTGATTACTAATTATTTCAATACGTTCATTTGAAACAGAAATGAAATGTTTTGGAGAACTCCATTGGGTCGATGCATGGAATAGAAAATGCTTGGTAAAAGAAACTATTGTATTTAAACATATTTGCACTCTCCTTTTTCATCGAGTTACTACAAATCGTTTGAATAGTCTCGTTGTAAAATAATTGAGTTTACGACTGACCAAATTTAGTGAAACAGAATATCACACTTTTGTTGTATAATTGATGCAAACATCTCATTCAATGAGTTATGAACATTATTCAGTATCTTATTAATGATATCAGTGACATCATTTGTTGAAGAAAATAAGATGTTGTTAATATCTTTAAGCAAGTTAAATTGTATCGAAATTAAAAAGTAATCCAACACTTCTTTTGACAAAAATGTGCTCATGCTCTTGGTATAACACTTTGCTAGAGCAAAGACACGCCCATAAATTGCTTTGATTTTTAGTAAAAATGGCAAATTATTATTATTTTTACACAATGAGTCAAGTGCTTTCATTTGAATTATATATAAAGAATTCTTTTTTGAAACAGTCTGGAAAAAATGGACCAAAGGATTTGCAGTGAACTCAACTCTATTTATGACTTGTATTACAAAATGAAAATTAACTAAAAAGTCTTATAACGGTATCAACATCTTTACCTTTTATATTTGTGGCAACGTCAATAAATTTTTTCATATGTATAACATTTCTGTATTAACGTTGATAATATCTCGACGTCATTTTTCCACACCTTTTCCCATATTTTAAGTACTTCAAATAATCGAGTGGGTTGTTTGGTATGTAATTAACTTAAAAACCCAGACCATAAAAATTTAATGAAAGATTCATCAATATAGAAACTGGCAAACAAGTCGTTTGTAAGTGTTTGATATGTCAAATGTAAATTTCTAAGCATCACACATAAGATAATATATCGTTCTAATTGTAATTTTCGTTTATTCCCACAACACCGAAAAGCACTCAACGCGAAAGAACGTGGTATTGTGTTTGTTCGTCCAAATTGTGAAACTCACAATTTGTTTTATCAAGTTATTCCAAAGCTTTGTTATAGTTCTGTTCGATGACCAAATACTTCGAATAGATGTTTTCAATCTTTCTCTATGACTTCGATATAATACTTTTGCAATATTCTACTTCATTTTTTCATTTATAGATAATGCATCCCTTGAATTTTTAAACTTACATGTTGTCTTATTAAGTTCTCGTTTTGAATATAAGCAATGATGTTTTTTACTCCTTCTATTATTTGCAACAAACTCATATTATAGACTCAATCAATATCATCAAAAAATACAACACTACTGAAATGCGTTTTCGTAGATTCCAAATTTACATTTTTCAGTGTGTTAATGATGAAAGTTGACATTCTTTAATGAAATAATCAAATTCCATTATATTTTGTGGCACTTGATCACTTAAATATGGTATGATTTGTGACATTTGTATCACTAAATTTTTAATAAACACATTCTCATCAAACACAATCAAATTGCCTATTGTGGCTTGTGCAAACAATTTGAATACAATCCTCTCGTATTCATTACATTCAGATTCTTGTTAATTTGTGTAGATGTTTCTTAACTTCTCTTGGTTATTTAAATCCGATTTCGTTTAGATGTAGAAGATGTCAAATACTCTTTCAACGCACTTTTTCCACTTTCTTGACATACTTTGCCCATTTCATCAAATACATAACCGTCATATTCTCCGTCTTCAGATGTATTGCTATCATCTTTTCTCTGTTTGTAAAGACACGCCAAATCCAGTTAACATGCGTTGTGCATCTATCT